CTAGGCAGGTGGGGAAACTTGGCTTCCTCTGTCACTAAAGCAAGCAAGCCTCATGTTAGCTTCCAGCTGCCTGGCTGCCAGCTGCCATCTTGGCTCTCAGTTAATTTGCATATCGCCCTGATTAGCCAATGGGAAGGGTAGCGGTCATACGCCAATTACCATGTTTCTCTTTTATTAGATAGGATATTAGCTGGAACAGAAATGCCCAAATCTCCATTAAGTGGTGAATGGATAATAAAAAAAGTGTAGATTTATTTGTACAATAAGATACCACTAATTTATTGTACTGGGATCAGATTCTAAAACAGAAATGCAGCCATTTGTACACAGAGGCATCTCACATCAGCCACACTTCAGAGAACCACCTGCCTGCACTGGGTTCCTGCGTCTGAGCAGCCCTTATAAAGTTGCTCCTGGAATCCTCCTTCATCCAATAGGACTGAGCCTTTCCCCATCCAATCAGAGCTTTGCAACTATGTTTCATTAGCATCCTCCCTGTCCAATCAGAGCAGCTCCATTTCAACCAACCAGGATAGTACTTATTAAACCAATGGAATTGCAGAAGGATAGACTAGTCAGGCACAAGGGGTGGGGACTTCTCTCTATACAAGCCAGCAGCTCTTTGGGTGCAGCATAATCTATCTATATAAAAGCCTAAGTGACCGTTCGACCAGTAGCTATGACATGCACTGACCACCAGGGGGCAGACACTCAATGCACTGGCATGGAAACATGGAACAGGCTGATGAATCTCAGAGGGAAGGGGGGATGGGGAAGGGCAGGAAGAGATTAACCAAAGGTCTTATATGCATACTAGAGGCCTGGTGCACAGATTCATGCACTGGTGGGGACCCTCAGCCTGGCCTGTGGGAATTGGACTGAAACCAGCTCTCCAACATCCCCTGAGGGGTCCGGGATTGTGAGAGGACACAGACCAGGCCAAGGGGCCCCACTGGTGCTTGTGCACTGGGCCCCTAGTGAGTTGATAACTGTGTCTATTGCAAAGTTATCACCACGAGTTTAGTGAACACTCATTGCCTCATCCATAATAATAAAAACATAATATGCAAATAGACCAAACGGTTCAACAGCGGAATGACCATTCAGGCGACCACACTATGACACCCACTGGCACCAGGCCAGCCAAGGCAGGTGCCATGAGATTAGGCAGGGGCCCAGCCATTGCCCCATGACCGCCCTTCAGAGGGAGGCCCAGGCCACCAACCATCGGGCTGCAGTGGGTGGGCGGGGCCTCCCTCTGTGGGGGTGATCCATCACAGGGATCCTGGACTGTGAGAGGAAATAGGCCAGGCTGAGGGACCCCCACCCCAGTGCATGAATTTCATGCACCGGGCCTCTGGTATCATTATAACTTTCCCTTCGGCTCAGGAAGTCGACACTTTCTTTCGGCCAAAGACCGAGGACTGCATTTCCCCAGAAGTGGAGCCAGCCAGACCTCTGCCCAGGTGGAGGGGGCAGGGAGAGCTGTCCAGCCGGGGGCGGGGGGCGGGCCATCTGACCAGGCTGCCTCACAGCCTGCTGTTTCCCAGCCTCCTTGTATCACAATAGAGTCGTTTGTGCTGAATAGTTTCCTTCTCACCACACCTCAGACTGGGGAATCCTGTTGGTGTTGA